GACTAAGCATAGATCCATCATAGGATCCAACTGTATACAGTGCTGGGTATTTAAAGAAGATGACATCACTGCAGTGCAGAGCCTTGCATTCTCATGTTTGTGGCAGGACTATTTCTAACAAACATATGAAATACAGAATTAACTGAGGTGTCTATCACCAGATGAATGAAGGAAGAAAATATGGCTTACATGAACAATGTAATATTATAAAGTCACAGAGTCATAGCCCATCATTTGCATTGAAATGGATGAACTGAAGCACTTTCCATTGGGTGAAAAAGAGACACAGAGAGACAAATATCATATTTTCTTTACATACATAGAAGCCTAAAAATGTCTTCTTGGCTTTAAGATAGTGGGATAGTGTACAGGAGACTGAGAAGTATGGAGGGTAGAGGTGGATAAATGAAAGGCAGGATTGGATAGCAGGTAACAAAAGGTAATTAAATAGATTAGGTTCTGGAATTCCAAACTACAAAACAATGCCACAGTGCATAATTATCTTTCATGCATTTTATGAAAATTTGTAATAAAGAAGCCTGAAGTTCCAAAAAACTATAGGGAAAGGAAAATGCCCATTATCTTCCTTGGTCAGTATAAGCTATATCCATGTTAAAATATCACACCAAAGCCCCACTAATGTACAGATTAATGCATACTAAATTTTGAAAACTGTCGTAGATAATAAGATAATTAAGATGAAGATGTTAACATATTATTTTAACCTGCCTCAGGTGTGGGTAGTCTCCTAGGAATTTCTAGCTGATACCAGTTGTAGACTCCCAAGAGCTCTTGGTAGAAATGAAAGTTACTTGGCTGGTTCCTTATACAGGGGCAGAATCATGAGCTAACTAACACACAGTTGGCTTGGCAGCAGGTGGAACAGATATCTTGGATTGAAAGCCAGGTAGGATGCTAGGATTAAGCACACAAGACAGAGGTTGTTGAGAACTCAGGTAAGAGGCAACAGTAGAGCAGGAAGTACTTAGAGGTGAAAGAAGACAAATTAGAGGCGAAGAGCAGAAGTATTGGACAGGGAGTATTGGAATAAGAGGCAGAAAACAGAGACTGTGGTAATTAAGTGAGAGATCTGTATGAAATTTGCAAGCAAATATTTGCTTCCAGGATAAAACATCAAAGACAGTTATGTCTTAAGTCTGGGAGAGAATTTTTATAGTTCATGGAGGCTCCAAATGTGACACTGTATACTTGAGTTATTCCTTGCATGGCCTTTAAATTAGGCTGCATCTAAACTCCCATGTTTCTTAGGAAATAAGCTTCTATATATACCTTTTACAAGATCTTCATGTTATAAGATTCCTTCTAGCTCTCGTCATATTTAGAAACACATCAAATTAATATTTTCAATTTTTGGTCATCATATAAATAACTAGAAATAGGCACATTTGATATATTTTTGAAGTCCTGTTTTTACATATGGTGAAGCCTCATGCAGAAATGGGTAACCAAGTCCATTTAGTAGATGGAGAGTGAAAGGCATGTGAGTGTGTGTGTGTGTGTGTGTGTGCAAGCACACACATATGCATGCATTCTATGTGTTTTCAGAGAAGATTTCATAATGCAGGCTCTTGTGGAACTCACAATCCTCCTGCCCTAGCATCTTGAACAAGTGCTGACATCACCAGTATATAACACCTTCCTCAGCACCAGGACCTGTCTCTTTGTCTATTGCTATGAGTCATCATTAATTTCAGTTCCTACATTCCTAGACACTGAAATGTACATTTTATATTTTCACTTCCTATTTCTAATGTGTGATGGTCAAACAAATTTTAGATGTCACCAAAAGAACACTCTATATGGGCAGCATTGGGTAGATGGTCACCATTCCTAAATGTTGGGATTTATTTGATATGGCAGAAGTTCAGTCTTCCAATTGGCCACCAATTCTAAGCTGTACAAAGAGTACAAAAGCTACACAAAAGAAATTACTAATTGTGAAGGTAGAGTCATAAGCACTAATCTAGTCTATCAAGTATATAATTTTTCTTTGTTTGTTTATTTCCAAAAGCCAGAAAAAGTAGTGCTTCTGAGATTATACAATCTAGGATCAAGATAACTTTGAGGAAGAGTTTATGCCTGAAAATACTATGGCCTTCCTGAGTGCCACAGTACTGCTATGTATTTGCATGATGAATGTAGCTGAAAAAAAAAAACCTGTTTGTCAAGGACTACTCATTTCTTTAGTTATGTGAGTTAGGCTGGGAGTTTGACAATTACGACTGAGACATAAATCCTTGGCAAGTTTTGTTGTGAGATGAGGGAGCAAGACATGTGTAGCACAGTTTTCCCTCTGGGTGAATCCCCCTATCCTAAGGACTAACAGCTGGCCTGCTTGGATTCTTTGGTGTAGAATTCTCTTATTTTTCTTTTTGAGACTGTAACATAGTTTTGGCAATTCTTCCTTCCCTTTCCTCCCTCCAAATCCTCCCATATGCCTCTCCTAGATACCAGTGATTCCTGAGACACTATTACTAGAGTTACAGGCAGAATCAGTTTAAAACACTGTAGACAAGGACCTAAACTCACCACTACTATGATGAGTAGTTTCTATTATTTTTCACATCTCTATACTCAATTATCTAACAAAAACAAGTGGAGGAAAAACTTACTTTGTTTTATGGCTCAATGGATGATACATCATCACTTGGCTCTGTTTCTAGGCCTAATGTGAGGCAAATTATCATGGTGATGGGAATGTGTGGTGGAGAATCTTTATGCTGGACAAGAAGCTAAGAAAAATCTGGAAACACAGGAAGAGGCCAGGACAAAATATCGTTCTAGGACTATATCCTCTGTGACCCATTCCTCTAACTAGATCCCATTGTATACATTTCACTACCTCCCAATAACACAGTCATATTATAAATACATCCAGGGATTAATCCATCCATTATGTGAGAAATTTCATTAATTGTCTTTGGAGATAAACTTACAGATTCATTCAGAAGTTTGCTGAATTCTCCAGGTAGATCTTAATCCAATTTAATCCAATCAAGTTGACGATCAAGATTAATTATTAACATAGAGATGCAGAATCCAAGAGCATCCAGGAAAGAATCCAAGATTAGGCTAAAAAAAAGGGACCAGAGTTGTGAACATTCAGAGTAGGGCCAATAACAATTGCCTGGGAAGATTATGAGTGCTTTAAAACCATGCAAGTGGCAGCCGTAGTACATTCATTGAACCTGTCAACAGCATTAACCAAATTGTCACAGTTTGAGACAATGAGTTAAAATGGACTACCAACACTGAACGGATAATAGATTCTCCTAACTGAGGTTTATTACTTCTGTTCTCCATAAGAAATGCCCATACATCCTACTAAACCTCTTAATAGTTCTTAACTCAAGTTAACTTGAGGAAAAAGTCTTCAAAAAAGTCATGAGTGATAAAAGCTGCTTCCCTTTCCCTTCATTTCTTCCTCACTGTGCTCTATGTCTTTACCAGCTAACTCCTTCTGTGTGGATTCAAGCTTCCCTTTCTCTACCATAAATGCAAAATGCCCAGAGTCCCTGTGAAGGGACATGCACTTATGCTGGTCATTTCTTTTACAGCTCCCAGACTCACTAGTGGTAGCTAAAATCAGAGGTGTCTTTCCTCCACTGCACCTTGTGGGGATGTCCTTACATGCTGGCAACTGTAAAATCCTGGAAGATGGTTTTGGGTACTTGAGCTTTCACTGATGATGTGAGTCTGTGGGTCTAGGAGATGCCCTGCAAGAACCTTCAGAGTGTAAACATACACTCTTTATGTTCATGACTCAGATAGATAATTGTAAAGATTTATGTATTTGCTCCATATGGCTTTTATTTGCTCATTTGAATGAACAAAATAGAATATCACTCTTAAATCTAAAGTTCCCTTTGGCCCATTAACCATCCTCACTGTATTAGTTTACAATATCATACCTGTGCGTACATATGTTTCATGCAAAATATTCTATCCTAAGGATCATTAAATTTTTCTATAAAAGGTCAGAATTTAAATAATTTATAATTTTTAGGTAATTATGACTTCATGATCTCTGTCCCAATTGTTTATATTCTTGGTTCTCTTTCTTTCTTTATAAATATAAAAGGCCCCTAATTTGCATAATAGTCAAAGAGCTGAGTTTGTTGCCAACCCTCTGTGATAGATCCCTTAACAGTTACAAAACCTATGCCATGAATTACAATGTATGATGAGTGCATTGAACAATACTGTCAATAGCAAAGAATTTCTTCAGTTGTCTGGGTCTGCTCACATAGTACTGCGGTCTGTGTGAACACATACCCACTTCAGGGAGCTCTTCCATGCTTCAAAATGCTATATTTAATTTACTTAATTTGTATCTTAAAAGATGTAGTTTGAGGTGCTGGGAAGATGGTTCTGTCACTCAAGTGCTTTCTGTGAAAGCATGAGGATATAAGTTCAGTTCTCTAGTACCCATGTATAAAAGCTGGGTATGGGGGTATGTGTCTATAATCCCAGGACTGAGGAGGAGGGAAAGGAAGACTCCTAAGGTTCACTGGACAGCTACTCTAGCTGAAATGGAGAGCTCTGGGTTCAGTGAGAGATTTTATCTGAAAAAGTAAGGTGAAAGACAGAGGAAAACACTTGATGTAGACCTCTGGTGTCCATATTCATGAACACATATAAGGGAACCTGCACACATATGTACACATGCACATGAATACAGAAAGATGTAGGGTTTTTGTTGTTGTTTGATGGGGGAACCAAAACACTTTTGTACTTTCCAGCTTTAGAGTTATGTATAAATATATCTGAAAATAAAAATCTATATTCAAATAATATAAAGGTCTCAAGTAAATAGTATAAAGAAACGTTTAAGTACATTCCATATTTTTAAAATGCTATATATATCTATATATATTTTTTTCATCTCATAATTTGAGGTATATTAAATTTAACCCATGTTGTGTAATTGTGACAACTAAGAGATAATATGTGTTTATTGTTGATGGCACTGTAGGTCCTGGAGCAGCTGAAGAAGACAGGTACTTGTGATGCTTCTCAATACCTCAGAAGTTGATGTCTCCTCATTCCTACTGATTGGGATCCCAGGCCTGGAGCATGTGCACATTTGGGTCTCCATCCTTATTTGCCTCATGTATCTTACAGCCATCCTGGGAAACTGCACTATCCTCTGTGTCATCAGAACTGAGCCTTCTCTACATGAGCCCATGTACTATTTCCTCTCCATGTTAGCCTTATCTGACCTGGGCTTGTCTTTTTCTTCCATCCCCACAATGCTAAGAATATTCTTGTTCAATGCCATGGGGATTTCCGCTGATGCCTGCATTGCCCAGGAATTCTTCATCCATGGATTCACAGATATGGAATCCTCAGTGCTCCTTATTATGTCCTTTGATCGCTTTGTAGCCATCCGGCACCCCCTAAGATACAGCTCCATCCTCACAAACTCAAGAGTTGTGCAAATTGGGCTAGTCTTCGCTGTTAAAAGCATTCTTCTGGTGCTCCCCCTTCCATTTACTTTAAAGAGACTCAGATACTGCAACAAACGCCTGTTATCGCATTCCTATTGTCTCCATCAGGATGTCATGAAGCTGGCCTGCTCCGACAACAGGGTTAACTTTTACTATGGGCTATTTGTTGCACTCTGCATGATGTCAGACAGTGTGTTCATTGCTGTGTCCTATGTGTTCATCTTGAAGACTGTGTTGGGTATTGCATCCCATGGGGAGCGGCTCAAAGCTCTCAATACCTGCGTCTCCCACATCTGTGCTGTGCTCATCTTCTATGTACCTATCATTACCTTAGCAACCATGCATCGCTTTGCAAAGCATAAGTCTCCATTAGCTATGATTTTGATAGCAGATGCTTTCTTGCTGGTACCACCCTTGATGAATCCCATTGTGTATTGTGTAAAAACTCGGCAGATTAGGGTAAAAGTCTTAGAAAAACTGGGTCTGCATTCTAAGTAATGGGGACAACATTCTTAGATGTTCCATTTTCTCAGCAATTAGCTACTTTAGAGACAGGATAGTGTTTCGTCTTCAAGGAGATCCATTTTACTTCACAGCCCTATAGTTTGTTTCAATCAATGAGTACTGTCACTTTTCTGGTTTAAAGGAGGAAGAGGCTTCATATTTCATAGCGCTTCTAGGAATCCTTTCACTGTTATTTTCATGGTGGAAGACATCTATTTTTAGGCACAAAAATGATGAATAAGAATTTCCACAATCTTCTGAAGAAAACATGGAACATAGGGTCTTCATTGTGTCTGGGAGAAGCCTGAAAGATTCTGAAACTGCTTAACATCTTGTATTTGTCTCTTATTTTGATCCCTCCTTATGTTACATTAAACCATTTATTGTTTAATGTCTGAGTTTGTCTGAGTGGTTCTTTAATGTTCAGTGTGTTGTTGTAGCAATAGTGTTACCTAGAGAGCTGCTGACACTGTAGAATCAGCACGGCTGCAAGCTTGTGAGACAATACTCATCGTAGGGAGTTCCCAAGTAATTGACATGTCAATTAATGTTTGAGGATTATGTTCTAGGGTGATGTGAAAGAGGAAATTATAAAAACTGTCATTTGCCCATCCTGATTTATGGTGAAATCAATTTTAGAGGAGTAAATTTTAAAAGAAGGATGTCAGCATTTGGTAGGATTACAGTGAAAGTTAAGGAAATGAATCTTGGGAGTTGGAGGGTCAGTTGTAACTCTAGTTGTACATATGTATATCTGTCACACTAAATGTGCTATGAATTCCTACTGCAGATGATTTACTTTTAAATCTTTTATTAGCAAAGAAGCTTTTCTATCATATGTGCCTGGTAGATAAATATTAATTTCCACTGAAATATTAAAGTAAATGAGGAAATATTGGTAAATAGGTAGCACAAAAAGATATAAAATTAGGAAGCTGCTATAGCTTAATTTCTTTTGCTGTGTAAAACACCCTGACCAGAGGCAACTTGTGGGAAGAATGTGTTTATTCAGCTTATACTTCCAGGTCACGATCTATCACTGAGGGAGGTAAGGGCAGGAACTCAAGGCAGGGTCTTGAAGCAGAAGCAATGGAAGAATGATGCTTACTGACTTGATCACAGGCTTGTGGAGTCCAGACCTACCTTTCTAGGTTTAGTGCTGCCTACAGTGAGCTGGGTCATCTCACATCAATCATCAATCAAGAAATCTTTCCTAGATATGACCATAGGCCAATCTGATCAAGGCAATTCTTTAGTTGAGGTTTCTTCTTCCCTGGTAAATCTAGGTTCTGTAAACTTGGCATTAAGAACTAACCAAGACAAAACAAGTATCAAATCTAGAAGTTTCTGTGCTGAGAAAAAGCTTGAATCAGATTAGCAAAGTGTATTCAATAGTTAATGAAATCCAGGGCCAATGTTCCTCTGATTCTGCTGTGGTAAGCCAGAGTAGTCATACCTTGACTCTGTTAAAGCTTTCTACTCTCTACACATCAGTGTAAGAAACAGATGCTGCAGGGATATAGGGAGCTTTGTGAGACACAGGGATTATTCCATTGGATCTATTCCACTCTAAATAAAACCAACATGATAAAGTTTGTATGTATATGGATGGGAATGAAAAAAGTTCTACTGAGTGAGGCAACCCAGGTCCAAAAGGACAAATGGCACCTGTTCTCTTTTATATGTGAATGCTAGATCTGACTGACTAGTTTTGTTTGTTTAACTTGGAGTACATGTGGAAGTGGAAAAACTAGGAAGGGGATATTGATGGCTCACTCTATGGGAAGGAGACAGTAGAACATAAGAAGGATTAAAGTGGAGCGGGAGAATATTGTAGGTGAAATGTTTAAACAGGGAAGGGTTTGGGACCTGAGATGAGAATTAAGTGTAGGACTGTTAACCAAAGAGAAGGGCCTATGAACAAGCCATATGGAAACATACTATCTTGTAACCTAATTTAAAAAATATAAAAGATACATTGAATGGAGGTACATTGCATGGGTAGATAATGATGCTCTTTGAAGCAATGGTTACTACAGACAATCTTCAGTGCCTTATAGGGAACACTCCCGTAGGAGTCATTGGTCAGGGAGGTCCTATAAGCCTCCCAAACAGCTATTGTCAGTCCTTTTGTTGCCCATCAAAGCTAGGTTGTGAGACCCTATTATTGAAAACATAACAAATCTGGGCTTCAAGATACAGAGAAAGCAAGTAGGTAGAGAGCTGTAAACTTCCTCCCTGTGGGCTTTTAATAATTTAAAAGATGTTATGGAGGCTTCTGGGGAAAAAAGACATGAACAATTTTATTCAGTTGTGAGCCCTTATAAACTACAACACTGGGCAAGACATGTTTGTTTGTTCAATAGTGGCACAGTTATTATGAGAGTAACCAAACACACACATTTAAGGCTCACACCACAAAAGGGAGACATGTCTGGTATTATAAAGCTGGCCAGCAATCCATAGGTCCAAGGGGGGGGGGACACACTGCTGTTGTTTAAATAAATTGACAGCATCAAACTGTGTTCCAAATCTGTGTATCTCCATATAAGAAAGCTACTCTTAGACTTAGTGAAAGAATGACAATGAATTCCGAGATCCAAGGGTGACCAATATGCTAAGAATAAGTGGTACCTGAGGGCTTAGCTCTAATTAAGACAGTTATACATCCTTTTCTACACTAAGGTTTAAGGGACATTGAGAAAGAGGGAGATGGGAACAATGCAAGATCTTGAAGATAAGGAGAATGGCTTTGAATTGTCATCATCTAGGCATGGCCTAGTAACCGCACTCACAAGTCTACAGCAACTGTAGTTAATTACAATGGACCTACACAAGACAGATCCTGTGAGCAATCAGTCAGGAATGGGGAAGGTGCTTATATGGCCCTATCCCCTTACTACTGAACTGTTTTTTTATTGATAGATTCTAGTAAAGGGGTAGTCATTGTCTTCAGTTGTATACTGATTTCAGAGCCAGTCTTCAATGGTTATCACCAAATCCATCATCACACAGATGGCCCTGGTTAAATTCATAAAACAAAGCAGACATTAATGTGAGAAAAAAGTTTGTAGGGGAGAGGGAGGATAGATAGGTGGAAGGGGGGTAAGAAAAAGTGAGGTGTGTATGTGAAAACAATCAGTATGCACTACATACTTGTATTAAGTTGCTAAGGAAAAATTTAATTAATTAAAAAATACACATGCCATTATATGTGGAATGCAAAGGTCAAAAAACCCATTGTAAACAATAAATAAAGGACAAAAGTTGTAGAGGAATAAAAAAGTGAAATTGGTTATATAAAATTATTTGACAGTTGTTTGAACAAAATTAAACATAAACATCATAATGGGAAAGGTATAAAATTAAGTTCACTTACAAATTTCAACTTAAAATATAAAAATAGAAATTAGGTAAATGCTTCTTTTTAGTAAACTCTTCATGGTATAGGATACAAATATGAATAGAACACATTAATAGATGCATGAAAGAAATTCTTTTTTATTATTTGGGAAATCCAAATTAAAGTAAAGAGACATAGTTATAAAAGTAATAAGAATTTTAAAACACTACATTCTTCTCTAGGACATAAGAATGCATGCATATAATCTTTTGTGAAAGGGCTATATACTGAAAATTGAAATTTACAGTCTTATAGAACCATTAGTAATGATCTAGAGAGGATCCTTGTAGAAATACTAATGTAAATATTCATAAGGAGTTACACAGGGATTTCTATTTGGAGTAGCAGTAAACTGAAGACATCTTTAATGCTCATCAATAGGAAACAATTGACTAAACTATAATCCATTCATGCTATCAAATGTTATATAGTTAGTTACTTGAATCAATGAAGTCTGTACTAATTGCCTTGGAGAGCCGATGAAAGGAAAGGAATATGATCATAATATATTATATGCAAAATATCTTCTTTAATAAAAAAAAGCAACAAGGCTCAGTTTAGAGCTTCCAAAAATATTTCACACATCTCTGAAACCATCATTCTTGTGGACTTCAAAGTCACTTGTCTTCTTATGTTTGTTACCTAGTGTTCTCTAAAGAACTAAAAGTGTGATTCTATACCCCCAAATACCTTTAGGATATTATTTGACTATTATGTTAAAAACAAGGCAAGTTTCTCATATAAGCATATTGATAGTCTTGATAACACAAAAATTTGAGAAAACATTCTGTGCTTGTAGAATTGGACATAAATTAAAATGTGTTAGTTTGTTTTTGTTGAGTACTATCCACAAAGCTTCATTTGCACACCATTATAGTGCTTGTTGTAGTCATTAGAGGTAGTCACAAGATGGATAGATGTCCTCTTGATCTAGACTGATTTGAATTAGTGGTTCTGCCCCAAGTGTGAAGTAGCAGGCACTTGCCTTGGGGCATAGATTTTGCTCAGTTCTGTACAATGTCTCATTCTAGAGACCAGGCAGAGGGAGCAGGAACTACTAGAGAAGCACTTTCCATAGCATAGTAAGTTGAATCCTATTGAAGACTCCTTCTCTCATCACATTCATTAACACCCCATTTGACAAATTGAGATATACAAAGAACAGAGCAAGCCAGGTGCCCAAGATCCTACAATCCTACTACCTCAGTCTTCTAAGTACTTGGATTAGAGATGTTTACTATCACTCAGGACATTATATCGATTAACATTAATTAGGAGCCCAACTATGATTAACTTTGAATGATGTAAGTTTATCTTTACTTACTCATTTTTCTGAATTGCAAAATATTTTAACCAAAATGTACATATATTGAAACTTTGATTAAAATTTTGAAAACTGAATAATGAAAAACACCTAATTGTCTCTTTTTCAGGCTGATGAATTTTATGGCCCTTTTCTTGGTGTGAAGAGCATGAAGAAGCTATGTTTGTTCCTCTGAGGACCACTAAGAATACTACTATGAGTGGCAACTCAGGTGAAAAGTCCTCCATCCAGCTGGGCAGGAGACTCATCTTCTCTTTCTTCTTCCATGAATCTTTAAATTCTCCACTCTTCTCAGTTACATAGTATATAGTGATAGAATTAACAAACATGCCCCATACTAGGATATATTGTATCCAGCTCTTTCTAATGTCCTTGATAGGTAGTGCCATAGTGGATGGATCACTTCTGTTCTTTAGAGCTTTTATGTTTTCTTAAGCATATACATTTGTAGAAAAAAGTAGCTAATTTGTATACAAGTATGTATGGACCTAAGTGACTGGTCATGCATGGTGAACTGAGTTTTCATCACCAAGACCTTTGTTTGGGGAGCTCTTTACCACAAGCGTGGAGGACATCCTCCCTCACTGAGCACAGCCCACTTTCCTGGG